TTTTAGTTGGCATTTCAATGGGGCAGATGATACATTTCTGTCTTAATCTTATTTTTGTAATAAGGAGGACAGCCTTGGATTAAGAGACTAGATATCACATGTAAAGATATTGCATATCAACGGACAAAGTACAAATGTAATGGTGTTGTTAAACCAAATGCAATAAAGTCTTCAGACAGTGTGATTACATTCAAGGAAGAGACCATAACTGATGCAAGTTCAAGTTCAAAACCCTACAAACTGACAGCAGAAAATGAGCATTTTGCTGTGTGTGCCAGAGTCGCTTTATACAACTTTACTTCTACACACTACAGAAAAATTAGCAGCTCTGCAGACAGTGAGTGAAATCAGTCACAATATGACTTTGTGGTAAGTGCTACGTAATCCGTCATGGATACAACTGATTGGTGAAATTGAGTAATTATAATTACAAGTTGTAATTCTTTTGTGTTTTATCTAAAAATACCACCCCGGCCTTCTACAGACAATTATGTCATTAAAACCTTCTGAAAAAAGGAATATGTCAATAACAGCCCAACCCAACCCGCTGTATCTACAGCGACCATCACAAATGTTGTTTTCTTCCAAAATTCATGACAAATGGATACAAATTTCACAGCATCTTTGGAAACATTCTTAAGATGGCTACATGCTGTGCCATTTTAGCAATCTCATAAATTTGCTGCATGCTACACTGTTTACTGCCCCAAAATAAACAATGCAGACCTTCACATTCAAAGCATGTATGCATGAGTAGGACTTGAATCTGCATACAATTACAGAAGATGCATTTGACCTTGACCTTCACTGTTAGGGTCCACGGTCAAAACTGACCTTGAAAAAACATTTAAAGAAACCATATCGAGTAATTTATGGAAAGGGCATGGAGACAGCTGTACAATACACTTTTTATGTTTTTAGTACAACGCATTGCGACGTGACAATGATGTCACAACAGGCTGAGGCCATCACATTGTAATAAACGCAGGCTGACATCTACATGTTGTAATGAAAACAAATCATCAGTTTTGGTATTGGTACTACTTTGGTGCCTAACTTGACCTCTGGGGGTCGTTGGGCACTCTTGGCATCAGCTATCAGATTTTTTTTTTTTTTTTTTAAATAAACACTAAAAGTGCATCGCTATTAAAAAACAAACAAACAAACAAACAAAAAAAAAAACAATACTGTGTGTTGGTACTTATACAAACATAAAGCATCACTATGACATGTCTTTTACTAATACAGTGATTCTGCCCAGCTGTGCACCTCTGAGGAGCCTGTTTGGCCACACAAAATTCCCACAAACCTTCCTTCAGTCAGGCTGATACACTAATGCCTCTTTTCCACTAGTACCTACTCAGTTTAGCTCAACTTTTAAGGTTTTCTATTAGGTGGCAGTACCTGGTACCAGGTACTTTTTCAGTACCTGCTTGGCTAGTGTTCCAAGCAAGCTGCGTCAATACGAATATGTGACATCAACAGACTGCATGCCACCAATTGCCCAGTCAGTGGCATCACTCGATAGTCATCGAGAGCAACATCTTCACAATAATCAAAACTGCCATTTTTAAAACCGGGCAACAAGGGAAATGGCTGCACACAAACCAACACCGTGGTCCCTGAGCCGGACAAAAAGCAGTTGACTGAGCAGCAGTCTATGGCCATTGTTGTGTGGTGTTTGCATTGCAAACAAATGATGTCCCAGATGTTCAGACACGTTGCTATAACAGCCCCATGCACATTGAGGTGGTACTCAATAATGGGAATTAAAAACAACGGAAACCGAGTAGAGTCAAGTGGAGTCGAGTAGGTACTAGAGCAAAAGAGGAATAAGTTGTGAAACACTGACAAGTCCAAGGGACTGTGAAACTATTGTACTACTTTGTGTGTTTTATGTGTGGAATTGGGAAGCATGCTTATATCCAGCTGGTTACCAAATGATGCAGGCACAGAGCAAATAAACTGCAAAGACAAAATGGAAAGTGAAGAAATGAACAATGTAGATTTAAAAAAATAAAAATAAATCCAAATCCAGCGACAAGGAAAATCTTCTGTCTGATTTGCAAAATCATCTGCAAATCAGGAGGGGTACACAGCTCCTTCAGTCTCCTATTTAGTGGTTACGTTAAAGAAAAGCATGCTCTGTGCTACAGCAATAAACCAGGCTTTAGTTTCAATAAAGGGGGTTCAAAGACATGAAACAAGCCCAGAGTGGAGATATGACAAATTGACTGAGACTCAAACCAGCACAGAGCAAAGACACAATCATTAATAAAAACCAGAAAACATTTGCTGTATATGATGCCTTTTTCTTCCACTGGCTCAACAATGATGCTAATAAAACAAAAGGAAGGAGGCAGCCAAAGAAGGTTCTGTGTAACCAAGCTCTTTAACACATCTTTAACGATGAGTTAAAAGGACTAGCTTTATAAGGGGGAGTGTGCTTTCACACATTAAGTAAGAAAATAACAGTTCTATCCAGAGGAATTGCAGGAAAGACATTCGTTGTTTGTTTTTTTTCCCCATTTAGTCATTTCCATTTATGATATCTTATATTGATCCTGAGAAAAAAGATGTGAAGATCCTTTTTCTCAGTGGAAAATGGTGAACATAATGAGAAAACATGGTCCTGGGCCCAGTGGTGGGAACAAGCTGAATGAGTTCTAGTCAAAGCCAGTCAGTCTGTGTCAACACAGGACTGCATAAATAGCTGCATCCTGCTTCTTTCTCATCCTCTCCTGGCCCAGTCCAAACAATAGCATGGATTAACTGTCCTTCCCATCTACTGGCAGTGGGCAACAGTAACCAGGACTGCAATTAAGAGCCCCTCTGGCTGCTCTCTGTAGACACAGTCCTGAAGCTTTAGCGATGGAACCAAAGCCAGCAAAACAGCTCTACTGTGCACACGTGCACACACAGTAGCCAGTAAATATGTTGATAAGGTTCATTAATGGCTGCTTGTAGCCAGGAAGGCTTTCATAGGTTAAGGGCTTTTCATCAGCTAAAGAGTGCCAAGAGCACAAAATGCTGAACCCTCTTAGTACAAAGTTTAACCCCGCCATCAGTTGGACCATAACAGTAAGAAACAATACTCTGTAATGAAACAACCAAGTGGTAGTGACTGAAATACACTGCCTGGACTGAGACTATATACAGACCATCATTTTTAATCTGTGGAATTATACATAACAAACACAATCTAATATGATTTTGGTTCTGTGCAAGGAGATGAACAGGACTCTGCTCTCTTAGGGACACCCACTAGAATACTAAGTAAACCTTTCAGAAGCCTTGCCTGCACATGTGCAAATAATAAGCACTTTCTCCTCATTCCACTATTTTAGAGTGCAACAATCCATGTGGCTAATGGCTCTGACCACAGGATCCAAAGGCCACACTAAAAAAACAAAACAAACACAAACAAAAAAACAACAACAACAAACCACCACAGAATAACCATCAACCCAACAACTGGAGAGAGCTGCTGCTAGAAAACACAGGAACAAGTAGTACCTATGCAATTACTATGTGTGCCAGTAAGTATATCTCACACAGCAACCAGCTGGAAGAAAGCACAGACTGGCCCACCATCTAGCTCAACAGTAAGGTGAGCGGCATTGTGGACTAATCTGAATACTACAATTGTAGGGATGCTACTGAGGACTCCATGAAACTGATAAACATTCCAGACTGGTTACTACTGGGGTTGTAACAATTTCTCCCAAACAATGGTTTTGGTTCATACCACAATTTTGGGGGCCCACATTGTTAGTTTATACCTTAATTCATTCTTTAGATGAAGTGCATAACAAGAAAAAAGTAAATTGTCTTCTCTTTACTTTGATGGATAATGCATGTTGGTTGCTTGCCACCAACAGCAGCAAGCGATAACATGAAGCCTGCCATTTAATCAGATATCCCCTGCAGTCATGCAGTCAAACTGTTCACAGAGCAGAGGGTACAACGCTGTCCAGTCACGCGTACAATATCAAAGTCTTAGGATAAATGAGCATGTGTGTGGTTTGTGATTGCATGGGTGTGTACGGCTCAATGAGAAAGTAACCACAGCTTCCTCATTGCCTCAACTGCACCTCTCAAGTTTGTGAGAACTCCATTTGAAAAAGCAAATTAACATCTAGCTGACTGCCCTTGAAGGAACACCTTTGAGAGCCCTTTCTACATGCATAAATAATCATGAGACCGATTTCAGACTCCTTTAGGATTAAGACTGCATGCACACCCACACCGTCTGAAAAACAAGCTTAACAGAGTACATCTCATTATCCAATTCAGGAGATGGACTTAGTCCCATGGTTTTAGTCTCAGCAAAGCCACCTGATATGACAAATATCATAATTATGTCATGGAAGGACACGCAATGTGTCTGTCTGCACTGTCAGTCCTCACAGGAAAATCAATGAGACAGTTAATTCAGTGCAATGGGACACTCACAGACATCAGCTGTAGTTGGGCTGACCTTGTAGCCTACGGCAGCTCTCAAACTGATCCATGCCCAGCAGCACAGTGCTGGAACACACACCTTGGTATTTAAAACAAGTTCTGTTACACAGTCCCAGGGCTCATAACTGTTGAGTTAAAGTTATCTTACAACAACAGCGAACACATGCTCAGGCTCCGTATAAAGACTAAGTGCCGATGTGTCACAGCAGGGTGAGAAAACTGTGTGAAACAGGTGCTAGCCACATTCCCACCCATCACACTGCTGTGTGCTAAAACTGGCTATTAACGTGACTTTGAAAAGACGTTCTGTGCAGTTTGATTCCAAAAGCCTGTTTTCTGACAATGTTTTTAGTTTTGTCTTTTTTTCCTTTCCTTTTTTGGAAGAGCTAGGGGAGTTAATAACGTGGACAAGATAGTGAACTAGTGCTCAAGGCAACAGGCCCGGTGCTCTTCAGTGGAAGATAAAATGACTGCTGAAACTTAATGAGTGCATTACACTTTTAAAAATGCGCTGCATCAACATTCACATCCTGTCTAGTACACACCTCTGCAACTCACCAATACAATGTTCTAATTAGCTGTGTGACTCATTTCATTTCTTTACCATCATTCATCAGCCAAACATCTTTTGCATACCTACAGCCGGAGCATCATACTCATCACCCAGTAGTATTTCAGGAGCTGAGTATGCCAAAGATCCACAGCTGGTGGTCAGCTTTTTTCCTGGCTGAAACTTGTTACTGAATCCAAAGTCAGTGAGCTTGACCAGCCCTTGTTTTTCAAAGAACACCACGTTCTCGGGTTTCAAGTCCCTGTGCACCACGTGCAGCCGATGACAGTAGGAGATAGCGTGGACAATTTGGGCAAAATATTTCTTAGCCAACTCTTCGTTCAAGCCCTCCTCATGCTTCATAATGTAGTCAAACATATCTCCTCCATCTCCAAGCTCCAGGATGAGATAAAGCTTCGTCTGCGTATCTATCACTTCATACAGGCGCACAATGTTGGGGTGCTGCACCAGCTTCATGCAGCGGACCTCCTGGAAAAGGTGGCCTGTCGCCACTGTGTCTAGCTTAGTCTTGTCAATCACCTTCACCGCCACTTTCTCCCCAGTGAAGACATGGCGTGCCAGCTTGACTACAGCGAAGTGGCCACGGCCCAGGGTCTTGTCCAGGTCGTACAGGCCGGCGATCTTGCCATCGTAGCCACGCTTAAAGCCTGCCATAACTCTGGAAGGTGAGGGGGAAAGGGGAGCCCCCGATATGGGCAGGAGCGGGTTGGATGAGTCAAGAGGGTCCAGCTTATTTCAGTTCATCAAAGGCTTAATGTTAAACCCATGGTTCCAGCTTCCTAATGCGCAGAAGACACAAACAAGCAAAATGCATTAATTGCCTGTCATGAGAAAAGCTGATGTTAAAAAAACAGAGAGAAGCACCTTTTTCCATTGTGGTGACATGTCAGTCTAGCCTAAATGCATCTGCCTGTCTCTTTATACAGCGTTATACAGAATATGCTTGGCTACATGACAGAATTAATTTAGTTCAGCTAAGCGTACTGAACATATATATGTTAGCACAAAACCCGGTGTGTTTAACCACTCAGCTTTCTGAATGCAGTGAGCTTGGGCTTGTTTTGACAGGGTGGTTGCTAACTGCTGCACCAGCTAATGCATCCCAACTCGTTGCCTCGTACTGATAAAAATTGAACTTTCCTAATATGTATACATACATTAAATGTTTAAAAATACTTGTTACAACAACGGCAGAGTTTAAGCTCGTAACTCAGCTGTGTAACGGGCCCGGAGGTAGCACAACCAACTAACGTTAGCTCCCACCCGGGGGACGGGGGTAGCTCGTTGTTCATTGATTGATCCTATGTTAGCTTACCGGATGACTCACGTTAATCACTTTGAAACAACGGAACGTCACCAGCCCACCCTACAGAATTTTCAACACAAACTCATTTTTCGTTTTGGTCACTCGGGGGAACAGGTGTTTCTTTCAATACCACCCAGCTAGCCTTAGTTAGCATGTAGCATATAGCAAGCTAAAGTTACTACGGTTCACTCAAGCTCACCGCTCCAGCTTCTCTCCGCTAACCATAAACCCGCGAGTCCAAGTCTTCACCGGGTACCTTATGCGCTCCGGGGCTGTTTGTTTGTGGCGAATAATCACAAAAGACCAGGACGGTGCAGCCTCTTCAAGAAGACCACGGCACTACACGGTGCCTATGCCCAGCGTTCATTCCATGAAGGAGGCATTGCATCGTTGGCAACAGCTGCCCTAATCGGAATGGTAGTATCCTCCCAGCCGAAGCGGCGGGGCTGTGGTGCTGCCTTCGGGTGCTGAAAGTGTCAAAAATGTCACACCGTCACACTTATCATAGAATTGCTTTAAACATTATACACAAGGTATAAAACGTATTTCCTTTCTTGAATAGATATGGATCACGATTAACTACAAAACCATTAAAAATTTTTTAAATGCAATAACAAGGTAGCATTTTTTTTCATGGAACCTACAGTATAGACACTAATTGTTTTTGATCGCTTTTGTTATTATTGCTAATTGACACTAATAAGGTCGTAGTCATTTGGACAGGCATCAGCAAATTGTATATATTCACAATCTAGCAGACTGAATACAGGTTCTTTCGAGGAGTACTTGAAGGTAGCATATCAGCATCATCAACCGCATTCAACTCTGACGTCAAACAGTCTTGATTGGAAAAGGTTGCTGAACAACACAAATATTGTAGACAGATACTGCAGCAACAACAAAAATAACGATAATGTTACAATAATAATAATAATAATAATGACACATTTCCCTGAAAGTTCAAAAACCGTACACTATGAGATAGCAGGAAGTACTTTACTTCTTCCGTGATTTTTAAAAACAGAAAAATGTCAAAAGTGATAATCAACCTGAAATAATTGGGTTTCAGGTTGACTTTAACACAAACCTCATTTTCGGACATATTCCCTGTCTCTGTTGTTTGGTCTTTGCAGTAAAAGGTGTGCACTGACACCTAGTGTCAGACAATCAGATCTATGTTTAGGCCTTTACTCCGCATTCTTTCTCTTCTCTTATTCAGTATTACTCTTAGTTGAAAATTGTGATCTTTAAACCTTTTCTCTCTATTTTTGCTCTATCACACAGTGTACCTATACCTGATCTGCCAGTAAGGCATGTTATCTGGCTCAATGATTCACTGAACATCCAGCTTTCCCTCACAGGTGCTTAGTGACTTTCATTATTCAGTTGCAGCTTTTATTTTTTGCTCGCTCAGTCAGAAGTATTCCACACAGAGAAGGTGCATTTTCCATGTTGAAATGTGTGCAGTGAAAAATAACAAAATCAAAAGACATACATATAAATACATAACAAATGTAAGACATTCAGAGTTTATGTGCAACAAGATAAAGTTGAGTAATTCATATCCCGTTGTGTTGTGCTCTACGGTAGCTACATAAATGCTGAGCAAATACAGCAGAGCTAAATTTAACATATAAATTATTCAGTTTTGCTCCTCCAGCTCATAGGCCTATTTCCTCTTTGTCATACCAAATTCTTGCACAAACTCACAAAGCAGACTCAAAAATAGTTGGAAAGTTCAAAGTGTTTATTTACACTTAAGTAAAGAGCTCTGCAACAGGAGCAGTGGCTACCAGATTTATCATTTGAATCCATAAAATGCCAGTTTGTGTGACAGGCAGCAGGTTTTGACAGTTTAGCATACATACATATAGTTAGTATTTGGATCTGGGAATACCAGGTGCTGTAAGCTTTTCCTGTTTTTCACTGCTCCTGATGTCTAGAAAAAGAGCACTGAAAATTAAGGCAGTGACCCATTAAATTGTACACATTTAATGCATCCATTTTGTATAACCTGTTAGTAATGTCCAAAAGTCATTTATGTCTAGTTGGGACAGTTTAGTGTCTGTTTTGATATTAGTTTTTTGATCAGACAAGAGAAACATCCGAGCAATCAGGTTAGGGCCAGTGATTGGGTTACCTCAGTGATTAGGTATACAGCCAGGGTTGGGGTTAAGGTTAGGGTTTTAGAAGGTTGGAGTTCTGAGAGACAGAGACAGCACAGCTAGGTTAACCCTTCAAATCCATAAATTCCCAGTTTGTGAGCCCAAAGAATATATATTTTTAATATTAGTTTTTTGGTAAAACAAAGCAATACCTCTAACCAATAGGATTAGGGCCAGGGGTTGGGTTACTCCAATGGTTAGGGTTACAGCCAAGGATGGGGTTAAGGCTTTAGAATATTGGGTAGGGTTGGGGTTTGAGTGAGAGAACATACACCCAGGTTCACCCTTTGAATCCATAAATTTCCAGTTTTTGCTCCAAGTGGCAGCTTGCGAGCTCACCACCCCGAGCATGCCCTATCTCATGTGATCTCCGAAGCTAAGCAGAGTGGGGCCTTGTTAGTACTTGGACCGCCTGGGAATACCAGGTTCTATAGGCTTTTCTTGTTTTTCAGAAAGGTACTGCTCCTGATGTGGAGAGAAAGAGCATTGAAAAATAAGGCAGAAGCCCATGAAAGAATACACATGTACCATGTTAGTGTTAGGGTTTTAGAAAATTTGGGTTTCAGAATATTGGAAAGGTTGTAGTTCCGAGAGACAGAGACAGTACAGCTAGGTTCACTCTTCGAATCCATAAATTCCCAGTTTGTGCTACAAAGATCAGCTTACAGCTATATCAACCTGAGCTTGCTTGATCTTGTCTCATCTCAGAAGCTAAGCGGGATTGGGCCTGGTTAGTACTTGAATAGAAGACCACCTGGGAATACCAGGGGCTTAAAGTTTATCTTGTTTTTTCAGAATGGGAATGTTCCTGATGTGTAGAGAAAGATCATGGAAAAATACGGAAATGGGCAGAGAGTATACATTTTTAATGTTAGTTCTTTGGTAAAACAAGCAATAACTCTAACCAATAGGATTAGGGCCAGGGGTTGGGTTACTCCAATGGTTACGGTTACAGCCAAGGATGGGGTTAGGGCTTTAGAATATTGGGTAGGGTTGGGGTTTGAGTGAGAGTTCATACGCCCAGGTTAGCCCTTTGAATCCATAAATTCTTACTTTGTGATCAAAGCAACAACGTACTGCCATAACACACTGAGCATGTGCCAATTTAATCTCATTCTGGAAGCTAAGCAGGTACAAGACCAAATATCTCTTGTTGGAGCAGTTTGTTGTTGTGTTTAGGGCTAAGTTTTGGCCAGAGAAGAGAAAGTGCCAATTGATGGCGACAGGGCCAAGGTCAGGGTTGATGGAAATGACCAAACTACAGAGGAATTTAGGAGACGTCCCAAAAATAAAAGTTGAAACAATCTGCTTGACTGACATGCATGACTGACAATGTTGTGGCATACTCTGAATGAGACGACAGATGGTTTACTGTGGGATTTCCTCATTGACCTATCTCCCCAATGTGATATTTGTGTAGGGTATGTTTGGTCAGAGGGTTCCTTTGTTTGTGCGCATGCGCTATCCAGCATGCTGCCTGCTGTAACCCATAATTTCCTTCAGGATTAATAAAGTATTCTGATTCTGATCTGTTCCAGGGCATGACTGAGCATCTGGACAGCCTGAGGGGCAACCTGGCAGTGTCCTATGGACCAAAACATAAAGTCCCAGAGGTGTTCTATTGGATTACATCAGGTGAGCATGGAGGGCAGTCAATGGTATAAAATCGTTCATCCTCTAGGAACTGCATCACATGAGGCCAGGCTTTTATGTGCACGGTCTGTGCATCCCATATGCCTCCCTCAACCATCACAGACCCAACAAGGCAGCTTAAAGTTCTAATGACTTGTCTTCCTTTCACATCTGTCACATGAAGAAGGATTTCATGTTAGTATGTGTGAAAATACACAGCACCAGTGGACAATCTGACAATTCTGGTATTTTATGAAAATGCCAACTGGGCTCCACAGTGCTGAGCAGTGAGCACAGGGCCCACTAAGAAAGGTCATTTTATAGGGCAGTTTTCATCCTGAAACAAATTTCAGTGGGTTCCATCCGTACAACCATTACTGTTTTAGTGGTTATCTCAGTGTTGCAATTGTTGTTAACATCATTAATACCAAAGAGGCTGAAACTGATTAACAACCCTGTCTGCTACTTAACCGAGCAGATTAATACCCCAGTTTAACTGACCTGATAATATACTGTGATGAATAAGCGTTCCTTTATTATGTTTATTTATTCATGTATTTATTTATTTATTTATTTAGTTAATAAGTTAGCCAGTTAGTTGAGCAGTGTCTATAACAAGGAGCACTAAAGTAATTCTGGAAGCTATTTGTCATCCTTTAATTTGTCATAACCTGTTGGTTTTCAGGATTATCAGTCACTTTCATGTTCCCTTATGCTTTGGTTATGACAGAGCTGCGTTTGTATTTATAAAGAGATTATGAATAGATGGAGTAACAACAGAAACAATCCTCTTGCTTGCTTTTCTTTTTTCAAACTCAAGATGGGAGTGTTGCTTTATGTTTGTCTTCCCATCACACACCAGTGCACTTCCCACTAGCGATGATCCAAATAATGCAAGGTTCCTACAATAGATTAATAATAACAGATTAAATATTAGGCAAAATTGTCAGTACATACCTTGTCATCTGCCAAATGACCCGGACTGGGACCCGGATTGGGACCCAGTTGCATTTACCATTTCAATTGTCTTGTACCATATGTAACATTTAATTTCACATGTTTGTTTTCTGTATCAGTTCAAATCTTGTCCAACAAAGCAGAGCTGCAACTATTCATAAAATGAATGCTGGATTATTTTCTTTCTTTTTTTTTTACTGCATCAGTTTCATCACGCGAACTGAAGAGGAGGAGAAGGACAGGTGCTGCTAGGGTGAGACAGGCGTCTCTCGCGGAGTCCTTTAGTGCTGCAGGCAGGCAACATACTCAAATAGCGCACAACCTCAGGTTTTTTATTTCTATATGATTATTCTGCATCATTAAGCAATTATTATATTATTATTACAATTACATAACGCAATTCTATATTGTATTATGAAATACAATTAAACATTAAGTTTTTGTACAGAGAATCGGTATCGGATCAGCATCATCGATACCACCCTGAATTTTACTTGGTATCGGATCGGAAAGGAAATCAGTGGTATCGCACATCACTACTAGGTAGTCACACACAGGAGCGTTTGTGAGAGAGCTCGTGTCATCGCGAGATCTGAGCGCGGGATTCCCCTCGGCGGTAGGTGGAGACTGGACACAGCAGAGTGGAGTCGGTATTCAGGCAGATGATCTCTCTGGTTCTGCTTTTGTGAGCGCTAGGCTAGCTTGTAAACAAGAGCAAAACCCCCCGGCCGAGTCTCGGAGAAATTTCATGACTGAACACGCGGGTGTTTTTTTGGTTACTCACAGCTGCCGTGTACGCCGGTATGCTTTTCTTTCCGTTTCCACTACACGTCTTTGCTTTCGACTCTGCAACATACTGAGACGCTGATGCTGCCCAAATGAGCTAACCTCTCAACTGTCTTGAAAGACAAAATCAACATTTTCACTTAGACCTAAGGTAAGAGTTGCAGTTCAGGTAAAGCTTTTTGCTTTGCTGGGACACAGTTCTGTTCTTGTGAAATTCCTTCAGCTTCACTGTCACCGGGCTTTGCCTTTGCAGGTGTTGGTAAATATCACAGGGGGAAACGTGTCCAGCGGCTACCAGCTCACGCATAGATGTGTTTGACGTGTTTGTATAAAGTAGTACTTAACCTAACCTGAAAAATACATTCATGCATGTAGCTACGATTATTATTAAGATTTTTTTTAGCGGTTATTTATTATATTTAATGATAAATTTGATAAATGTATGTTTTAAAATAAGAGATCTATTTCCAAGAACCATATAGCAAATTTAGACACATAGCCAAATCATATAGCACCACAATATATCTGAAGATAAATAAATATTACATGTTAAAAGGTAACAGAATGTAGATTCATAGTTTTGTACATCTAAGAGGTGCTGTGTACAGTGTTTAAATTCAGTCTAAGAACAAAGGTAAGCAGGCACTATTTGCAATCGAGCCTTGGTACAGTGCTGCTCTCTTCGATTTGCGAGGTAGGATCACCCCACTTTTTCATATAAGGTGCAATGGTGAGTAAGACAGTAATCACCTGTGATAAACTGTAATGCACTGTGATCCACAGAATCAAGAGGATTCACGGTGGACCTAGAAGGTTAATCAAGCAAAAATTGTGGATTGCACAATATTCTAGTGTGCAATTCTAGTGCATGAGCCTGCAACTTGTTGATTTAAATCAAGATTTGTTTCTACATACATAACCAGCCAACCAACCTTTGTCATCAATAAATTTTGTCAGTTAAATCACGTTACTACGGGGCCCCTCAACGGTATGTTCCATCGTTATGCCAGTTTATGTTTATGTAAATTACATGCAGCTGCAGGATAGGAATGCGGAAATGTTCAAATATGCTGACGACATAGCTGTTGTGGATCTCTTTTGTAGCAACTCTAACTGTTTTGCTCAGGAATGTAGGTTGGAATAATGGCATAACTCTCATTGGTTGTTGATTAATTTTGCCAATGTGAAAGAGCTTGTCTTGAATTACACAGGCTCCATAAAAGGTCTTTCACTCTCTGGTCAGTCTGTGGAAGTCTGGGAACATATATTAATGTAAAGATAAACTTTTATAGTTAATGCTAATTCCATTTACAAGACTGCTAATAAGAATTTTTTTCTTATCAGGATATTGGGAGGCTCTGCAGTTAGCCACAACTGTGGAAAGAGTTGATGTCAGCTTGATTGAAAGCATGCTTCAGTTCAGTATCTTAGTCTGGTATGGTACCTCGATTGTTGAAAATAGGAAGAACTGAACAGGATTGTCAGAACTGATTGGTCGACACCAAACTTCATTGGATAAGCTTTGTCATCAGGCTGTCTTAAGTAAAGCCCGGCCTATTGTTGCAGAATGTGAACACCTTTATTTTGAATTTGAAATAATGACCTCTGAACGATTTTATAGGATGCATCTAGCTAGTAAAAAGGTGTATACGGGATCATTTGTGCCAAAAGCAATCAGCATACTAATTAATAAGATGCTGTGATTTATTTCTATAGTTGTATTGAATTTTTATATGCATATGTATGTATGTTGGCTGATAGCCACCAGAATTTTTATTCTGACAATTTTCCATTAATTTGGACAATAAAGTCATTCTATTCTAATTTTCTTGGTAAATGTTCCACATGGTTCTTAAAAGTCCTGGAGTCTAACCTCCAGGCAGAGTCCTTTAATGCAATTAACAGTTTCAATTTTTCAATTTTGTGACCATGAAGGGTTTGAATATAGATTTTTGGGTGATGTTGTAAATAACACGCACTTAGTTTAAACAGAGTAATGGGAGTCTATGTACACACTGAAAGTTTTCCTGTCATGTCAGTTGGAGCATTGAATTCACCCCTTGGGGTGCAATTTTGTGCATCCTGAACCAGTCGGCATGGATTACCTGCCTTGTTTAAGAATTTGATTCATTCATGTCATTCACACATCGTCACACCACAGCCACTCTTGTTTTGAAGAAGAAGAACAGATGCTCATTAGCTAGCTTTTGACCAAGAATGGTGACTTCAAGTGCTGCTGAAACAGGGTTAAAATCAGTTGTTTGTTTACAGCAACACTCTGTTTTTAAGGCAGTTGGTCGAAGAAAAGAATCAAAGGGCTTGAACTCGACCATCCGGAATTAGACAGCAGCAGTCCACGGACCGTGGGAGAGCATATACACAAACGTTCCCCTGCAGGCTATATGATAAAGCACTTAACAGAAAAGTGCAAAAGACATGAGAGCAGCTGTAGCCACTTGTACAATAGCATGAAGCTTCACCTTTTTTCAGGCTTAGTATAGTGGAACAGCTGGGTTATTTGTGTTTGTGTTTTTTTTCATGACATTCATTGTTTGATCTGTCAGACCCAATTGCACCCACCCAAAATTATTTTTTTTTCTTTTAACCACCAACTGCCACTGTTTGTGTGATAAGAAAGTTATGATATATTTCAAAAGCAAACTGTAGATTAAACCACAGAATACAAGCAAGGTATCTTTGAACTGTAATTATAAGAGTCAGCAGCACTTGACTCAAGTCAGTGATTATCTAAGGCAAACATCATTCATATGCATCCATAGCTGTGTTTTCCTTTGAGAAAGGGAGGATTAATCCCACACATCCCCTTTTGTCATATTCATTTATCAGCTGATTGATAATAATAAGTACTGTCAAAAATAAGAATAACTATCAGTCTGATCATGGTCCTTTGGTGTGCACCTTTGTAACCTAGCACTCTGAGCAAATGGAAACCGGCTTGCTGTTGCCTCTATATTGGTTCACAAGAGGTGTTCACAGTAATGACACTGGAGCTGTGAAAATAAAAATACCACAGTGAAGCTTTTGTGGTATTCATGGTCGATAAACTCACAGACAAGATGTTATTTCATATTTCTGGAGTTTCCAATATTCTTTTTGCATGTTTTCTGAATCAGACATTAATCCAAACAGACTGAAATCCTAGTGAGAATTCATGTTTGTTTTAACACCAGAACCACAAAGGTAGTCATTTTCAAAATGCTGCACATCTGCAAACCTTCGTTCCTTCAATTTATCCATCTGTCTTCTTTTGAAAAGCAATGTTCCATAAGCAAGATAGAGGGTAAGTGGGAAGCTACTCACATTAAAAGCAGTGCAAAAAGCATAAAAAATGTTTGGACCAATCTCTAAAATATCCAAATGTAGCCTTTCTAAATTACGAAAATGATGAATGAATTTTCACATTATTTTCCAAACAGCTTTTTAATCCAGGTATGAGCTTGTGCCTTTATGTCGCCAACTTTCTCAATAATTCACTGTAATATGTTGTATTAAGTTTCTGTAGATCAGTATTGTGGCATTTCTTCAACATCACCATTAATACATAAGTAGTACTTCCATTTTCCCTAAAACCATACTTGTGTTCCTTCAATAATTTATATTTACCAATAAAGTGATCCAGTGGTTATAATGTCACATCTTGATAACATCACCATAAGCGATTTGACTTGACGTGTCACCTGGCTTTGTTTCTTTGCCCTGTCCCTTTTATACTTCCAATATGATCTGCATTTCTGCTCTTGTCTTTGGAATAATTCAAAGCCATTCTCTGCAACCTTTCACTATAGCTCTGGCTTATTTAGCAGATTTTGAGTCCCCTCTGTGAAGACCCCTACATTTTTAACAGTGGAAATAAGTTATATTTATGCATTTCCATATCCCCTAAGTGCTGAGCAAAATTGACTCTCATTACTTTTTACAGCAACTCTGGTGCACACAGTATGGGTTCAGTTCAGTTTGTTGGAAAGCAGATTATACATTAGGCTAAGTCAGAAAACATACCACTGCAAAGGCAGACAAACGCCTCTGGAGAGAGATTTATACCATAAGAGGCCTCTTCAGGTGATCATAGCTTAAGAGGCTGGTGGTGGAGCTGATGTACATGTGCCTCAAATCATCAGTCCCATGAGTCAGATAAATGGAAGGCACCATTTTTGGCACAGTGACCCACAGTGTCAGTGACTATGGCACCAGAAGAGGCACATCCAGGCTTTTGTCATTTAGGCATGGTTTTTTTTTTTCATCCTTCATAAAAATCATTTGAAATTGATGTTTCATTTTTGTTCTTTTTTTCTGCATGCTTTAGAGGGTGTAGCACTCTGCAGCCTTTGTTAGAAATTCATTATACATGTAACGAAAAATGCAATTAGAGAACACTTTAGGTATTACATGAAGGTCATCTTCCTAAAGCTTATTGAACTTTGGGTTTTAAGTGGGCTCAGTGTTTTATTGTTTTAGTTTTTATTTGGATGAGCCACACATATATATTAATGGGTGGCCAAGTATATGTGCCAATTTATTGCTGAGCTGCTGAACTGCTGAACTTACTGAGCAAAATCTGATTGTTTTAAAGTTCAGTCACTGCTAACCAGCTAGTTGTGGCTCTTCTACACACATAAGTTTCCTGCCTGCTGGCCCAGTGGCCAGTTCACCATTATTGCAGTCCTTGATATTATTCAGCTGCTTCCCCAGAGAGCATGCTCCACTGACATACTCCAATCCCTCTGTCTTGGACTGAAGCTGGTACCTTCTGCTGTGAGCTAGAGTCCTGCACTAACCAGCACTTGCAGCTCATGAAGGAATGGTTCATCCGCTGCTACAGTGATGGAGTTGTAGTTAGACTCAGGAGAAGGTAGCTCTGCTGAGACTTACTTGGTTATTTAAATTTATAGGTTATTTATAGAAATTGATGGACTCTGATCACTCCATCACCCCAGATAGAGGTCTATAACTCTCTGGTAAACACTAGGGCTACACTAGAAATCAACGTTCTGTCAAAGAAGGTCAAGAACTCAGTTAGTTTGGTCCCATGTCAGCAAAGTAGAACAGTGAGCCAGCAGAAGCTGTATTTTATAATGCTCTGATTATGTTAGCGTAGGAGGTACAATTCCTGTACTGTCTCCTAACCAGCTC